TAAAAGCCTTGTTCAGATGGTTTGTGCTTGCTTTTGTACGAGTAAGAAGCTACAGTTTTCTTTAATCCCTTTTTTCCTTCAACTTTGCCTCATTAGAGACATTGTTAGTCAGTTGCTAGAGGGTAATCAAGTGTGTCCTCTTAAAACTTTTTTTTTTTACATTTCACTTTTATTATTCCCATAGGAAACTGCATTTTTAGAGCCCCTACTTTAATGAATCCTATTTGAAATGCTGTGTTTCCATGATGTACACTGGATTGTAGAGCAGCCTTCACAAGCACATGTGTTTTCAGGCGTTTAGTCAGGTCACACTCTAAACTGATGAGTGTCCTCATCTGGTGGCAGCAGGGTGGGAGGGTTTTTTCTGTTTTGTCTGTCATTGCTACTGTCTATCTTCCTCAAAATGCCTCTTCTTTCCTGGTTTCCCAGGTCCTTTTTTAAACCTCTCACTCCTTTGTATTTCTAATATATTTTCTGGAGATGCCGTGTAGTCAGTCTTACTGCTCAATCAGTGTTGTCCCAAGCATGTGCTCTGTTGCTCAGTTTTGTTACAAGAAAGACTGTTTCATTCCCATTGCTGTAATCTTTAAAGACCACGCTGGTGTTAGTGTCTAGGGCTAGAAGACAAGAAGTTGGATACTCACCAGGTCGGAGAGGAAACCAGCCATTTCCCCTTGAAAACCTGCCTGCTCTGAGAGCCCTTGTCAAGCCTGTCAGATGAGAGAGATGTTTTCTAGGCTTAGATTAGAAGAAGCTGGGATCATAGCAAAGAAGTTAAATTCTAACTATGTGGCTTTTAGTGAATTGTATCCTCTTCCAACACTGGCCAAGGACTCTTCTTGCTGGTTTAATTATTCTAAGATCCAGATATGCCAATCTGATTACAACATTGGTAAATATTTATCCTTATACTGGGAGCTCTCCCCCTTACTCACACTGGTAAAACAACTGTGTTCCTATTGTGTGAGGAGTCAGACAGTGCTACCATCTTCCTTCAAGGGAGCAGAGCCCCTCTTCACCTCTCCAACAAGCAGCTTAGGCAGAGTGTGTTTTCCTCCTTTCCAGTCTGCTATAGAGATAAGCCCCTAGGTATTGTAGCTGAGCTGTAACGCCTCTTCTTGCATGCTGTAAGTTTTTCAATTGCTTGAAGTGATTTCACCAGTTTTCCAGTTGCAGGACATGGATTATCTGAATATTGACATATTGGTTCCTTGCTAACACCCAGTTCTTTATAGAGGGTCATGCCATTTCCAGAGCTGCTCAGAAGCCTCACTCTTATCTCTCTATAACAGTGGAGATGGCCTACTCTGTGCCAGAGTAAGATTCTCATTCTGTTCTGTCTTGAGAATTGATTTTAAGAGGTACTTTTTACCTTAAAAAAATGCATTTTGAATCAGCTAAAGACTTGACTATTTACCAAGAGTTCAAGTTAATTCTTGCTTCCTTCACGCTTCTATATATTACACGTAACATTTTGTACTGTGCTGAATACAACTTAGTTCACTCTGTACTACAACAATTTAACTGTCTATGGGTAGTTCCGTAGAGGAAGGCGAGAAGGTGGGGTTACGGTTCTGAAGGCAACAGGAGCTTTGCTCAGGAGCAGGGTGGGAGCACTGACATTCCTCCTACCGTTTGCTTTTCACCTCGTAGTGACTGACAACAGCCCCACGCGGCCCCTGGGCTGTGTGCCCTGCAGCCCAGGGTGAGCTTGCTGAGTCACACCTCGACCTTTCTCCTGCTGGATGTCCCACTAATGTTCTCTCTCCATACCCTCTGCCCAGGTGTCTTGTTGCACATCAGTACAGTGAAATAATCCAAGCTGAATTCTGCTGTCCACTCATTCCATTTTCTCCGTTCCTGAAATCTTCATCACCACATCAACTGTGGTCATGTGTTTCATTCCTTCCCTTCTCATGACAAACTCCTCAAATGTTATGACTTCCTCTTCTACAACACCCCAGAGTCTACCTTTCTCTTCAATTACTACTTCAAAAGTCTCTGTCTTTATTTAGGTTTTATTTAGGCCACCGCCCTCCCCTCAGCCAAAGATTTTGCTGTCACAGAGAACACTGCAGCCAGACTTTACAGCTGTCCCTGTCCTCCTTTACCACCACTTTATCTTCTAGGATCAGAGCAGAACTGTATCCAGCAGAGTATCCCAGAGCTGGCAGTCGCAAATGGCATTGTAGGCTAAAGCATAAGAACGGAGCACGTGTGCAGTGATCCTTTTCCTGTGTGTCTTCCAGGCCCCAGTGATGCCCAGCCCTGGGTCTCTGTCAGTCAGGATGGTGACTTTATATTTGCACCTTCCACACATTTACTGAGATCCTCTTTGAACTCTTGTAAACTTTTGTTGTTGCCAGTTCCCGTGGTGGAAAGGTCTAACGAGATACTTGAACAATCCAGTGTTACTCTTGCTTTCTGTCAGGACACACTAAAAGCTACTTTTGCAATAATGACACCTCTCTTTTGTTATTTCTCTCACTTTATCTTGACTTTCCATTTAACTTCTTCTGTTTCCTGTATCAAATTTGAATGTCATATCTCTATTTCCAAACGTTTCATGCTCTACTATCTCTTGCAAGTCCATTTTTATTTTTCTTTTCCTCCTCAAAGAGGTTCTGCCAGACTAGCAGCAAACCATTTTGCTAGACTCAGGCAGCGGAGCTCAGGCACCTCAGAGTGTGGCCATGGGCAGGGAGCAGATGAGACTGAATGAACTAGAGAGGAAATGAGGATTTGTTCTTTGAGCTGAGGATGGGAAGTTTGGCTGCTGGAAGGAAGGACACACATGGCTGCTTTGGGTCTTTCTGGAAGGGTTTTTAAACGCTCCATCTGTAGCCAGATGTTAACATCTCGTTGATCAAACATTCCCTGCAAAGCCCTGTTCTTCCTCCTGTTGTCTGTGTTTCTCCCAGAATACTCATACTGCTGTCTCATTTCTGTCTGGCCTCACACTCTTGTTCAGTGCTGTAATATGGAAAAAGCAAGATTTAAATACCTAATATAGTTCTTATTTATCTTCCTAAAGAAGAGGACAGGATGAGTCTTTCCACCTAGGATTCTAACACCAGAAGAAATGTGCTTACTCCAGATCCAGTACTTAGCTCATCCAATACCCTTGGCATGGAGGGATTTTGTTTTCAAAAGATGCAATGTGTTGCACTTTTGTGATCCTGGAAATCAAACAGATACACTGCAGAATCACAAGTACTTCTTTAACCTTTATTCCAAATCCATGCTACTCAATGGCAGTGTTAATGATTTACCACGCTGTCCCTCTTGCAGACTGTATTTACTAGGAGGAGGGAAGAAGGGAAGTCAGGCATGCTGGGCAAGATCCTGCTGTAGAAAGACATGTATAAGGAAATGGGTTTTTAGTATCTTGTAGGACACTAAAAACAACTTCCTCACTGGGAACTGGTAAGGCTGAGAACAACCAAATCAGATAAAGACTTTTAAAATAATCAGGGTCTTACCTAATCCTTTCTTTTCACAATACTTGAATGTTTCCTCCCCACCCCATTTTTGACCAGAAGAAGGAATGTATGTTGGTTCTTACTGTGGTATTGTGCAATTCATAACCTCCAGCCTTGAAACTATAAACTTTGTCTAGCTTTTTTTGTAATATGATGATTGTCATAAGAAGGATGGCTGTGTTGGGGAAGTCCACTGTTCATGGTATTAGAGCTTGGCATTGCTACAAACATTGGTAGAGGATGGTGTGAAGATAAAATAGCAGGAGCCTTAGGGCTGTGAAAGAAACTGCCACTCAATATTCAGGTCCTTTTGCAAATTTTATTGTGCAGCATCTGCAACGGTCATTAGTGAAGATCTCATTTCCAGAATAGGACAGAAACAATATTCCTTGACCACAACAACACACTCCCAGAAGATGGGCTCTCCTCTGTCCCTGACTCTTCAATCAATGAAAACCAAATCCAGGCATGATCAGTAGGATATATTTTCCTAGTCACTGCTTTTTTATGTCTTTATCAGTGAACTGCAAAGCATGAAGAAGAGCGTGTCACGTTGTATAGCAATGACTACAAAAAGTGAAGCTCTTTTTAGCCTGTTTTATAAGAAAAATGTGGAGTATTCAGAGACCTGGAAAGAGAAAAAACTGCTCAGACATGCAGATTGGGTTCTCTGGGAGAGGCACCATTCTTTTTTTCTCATCAGTACCAGTTACTCTTGGGAACTCAATCCCATTGAAACCCAGTGTTCCTTCTCTCTAACGTGAAGTAACTCCAGACTGAAGACATGCTACACAGTTATTGCTACTGCAGAAGGAGAAGCTGCCCACTGTGGATTAGCCCACTCATGTTTTCCTGCAGCTCTGCTTTCTTTCAGTGCTGACATAAGCCTGTTTGTGTCAATAGAAGAATCTCCAAAATCTAGTCAATGTACCTGATTACCAAGCAAGAGGTTTGGCTTGAGATGACAGGTTATGCTTGGATGCTTCTCTAGCATAATGTCTCCTTTACAGCAGGACCTTATACCTCCTTTACACCTTTATTCTTCAGACTTAGCAATGACTTCCCCCCTCCACCAAAAAAAAGGATGCAGACCATGCTGCAGGTCACAGAAGTGCAGTCATAAGGTCCTCAAGTCCCAGTTGCCCCTATACTATGTACTTGCTCTCAAGTCTAATTGTAAGAGGGGGAAGCATTGCACACAGATTCTGTCTACTCATAGGCAAGGTACTCTTCTTCCATCAGATTAAAGAGCTAAGCACTTCACCTTGACTGAAGCTCCTTCTCTGGGAAAGCTCAGCAGCACTGACTTGTTAGTAGGAGCAGATAATTTCAACATGAAAGCTCTCTCAGTTTCACAAGCGTGCTGTACCTCTGAACCTTCCACCCTCACTTCCTCCAATAACTGTGGAGTCCTGGTTTTGGTAAGAAAAATAGCAGATTCTGTGTTTTCAGTTTACACAGCTGCTGACTTACAGGGACTGCCAAAGATTGTATTTCTTTATACACTGTGTTTTGTTTTTTTTTTTCAGAGGATTTAATTCAGCTCATATTTCAGCAGTTGGAGAGAACCACCAAGTTCATCTGCACCCTGCACTGCAGGTGATTATTTTTTAAAATACACATGTGTGCTGTTTATGGAGCAATGGATTCTCTCTTGCTTAGTGACGCTTCTGGGCACTACAGTAATAAAAGAGCAAAATATGGAGTGGAGAGTTTGTTATTAAAGTCTAGTCACAGTCATCACTGAGCAGTTACTCTGCTGTAGGGCTGTCTGTCTCTTCTTTCCACGGTAGTTCAGGTGGTTGAATTCCTCCATGACCTGCAGCATGGTCTTTCCTTTGGTCTCTGGCATCACCAGAAAGACAAAGATAGCCATGGACAGACAGTATGTCAAGAAAATGATGAAACAGAAACTACCAAGACCTTCCTATAGGAAAAGAAAGAGACAAAATGTGTTGATATAAATTGATCGAGATTTCTTTCTCTTATGATACTGGTTTGTATTTACTAAAAACCTTGGTCAAGGACTTGGTTTATGTAAATCCTACTTGCTGCCACCTGAGGAATGGCACCGAGTGCTAAGATGAACTAATTCTCCTTTCGTGTTTTAAGGGGGAAAGTTGTGTGCTCAGCAGACATCGAATGTCATTGCTTGACAGCTCAGAGAAGTGTTGAGCTTCAATAACTCTTCCTTTCCGATCTGTCCTTCTCAGTCAGTGCCAGACTGGGGAAGGTACGAAGCATGTTAGCTCTGTCCCTCCTTGCACAGGCCAAAACTGCAAAGGCTTTAGTTTCCTGTTACTTACTAGTGGTGGGTGAGATCTCTGGGCTGCCCATTTTCCACATCAACCCCAAAGGAGATGCACATACAGGACAAGGGGGAAAAAGAAGGGAGCCCCTTATGACATTCAAATGACATCTGGCAGTGTTGGTGCCTCTGTCACCATTTCCATGTTTGCTGGTGTCACACTCTGTGTGTGGAGTTAGCAGCATTTTGTGATTTTGCTACACGTTCACTAGATAGCTGGGTAAAAAGAAAGAGGCCATCAGAACTGCAATTAGTTTGGGCTCTGTCCTTTGCATGAAGTGTTGGAAAAGAGAAGTATGCTTTGGGTTCAAGAAGGATCTAACCTCTCTGAACTGAAACAAAACACCCTGCTTTGCTTACCACAATGAAAGGGAACAGGAGTCCAAGCATGAAGAGTTGGATCCAGTTTGTAGCACCATTAAAAACATAAGCAGCTGGTCTGTATGACTGAATAAATATTTCTGTGGGCAAGGGACATAATACTCCAGCTGAAAAAAATGTTGAAGAAAAAGAAGAAGTTTAGAAATTTTGCAAGATGCTTCTGTAGTTCACACTTCATATTGCCACATAAGTTAATGGTTTTAACTGACCTGGAAGTGTTTGAGGTGCTGCTTGGCTCTTCAGGAGGAAGGCATGTAGGAATGCAATATGAAATGAAGTTTTACCTCCTACCACAGTATGGAGGCAACACCTACCCCTGCGCTGAATCAGGAGCAGTGATTCACGCTAACTGTGGAACAGCTATGCCTGGGAACTCTCCTAAAGGCTGCAGTGAGGAAGGAATGAGTATGTGAAACCAGTCCAGTAGAAAATACCAACCTGGCCCAATGCCAAAGCTCATGATGAAAATAAAGATGAGTGCAACAGAGCAGTATGGTACCCAGAAAAAGGAATCCTATGGTAGGAAATGAAAATAAAAAAAAAAAATAATCAGAAATTAAAACTTTATTTATCCGCTTCATTAGAAACATTCATCACTGCTGAGTATGTTACACATAAATCTGTTTCCTCTACTTCGAGAAGCTTTACAAGGAGATAGTCTTGGCAGTCTTTTATGGTTGTATAAAGCTATTGGCTTTAATCTGCACATACATGTCTGGAAACACACCTCTTAGTATGATGGTTAGCCCAGAAATACTTCTGCTCCCACTAGGAAGTGATTTAGGGAGAGGGAAATAGTAATGATATCTGCCATACAACAAAACATGGCCAGGACACAGCTCTGATGTGTGAGTAAGCGGGGTCTTACCTGTAGTGAAAGCGTAACTGTGAGGAGCGCTAAAGCCAAGGCCATGACAGTGTAGCTTTTCCACAACAGTGTCTTCCTCCCTGCACGCTCAATTAGGAAACCCTGCCAGCAAGAGGACATGCTGTCAGCTCCAAAGGACAGACCTTAAAGGCAGGCACTCGTCAGCTGCCTTCACTGGCCAGGCAGGAGATCTCTGAAGAGCTGGGGACTGGGATGTGGTGCCTCCTCTGGGAGGGTGAGTAAAGGGATCTGGGGCACTGAGCAGGACCAGGAACTGCAGAGGGGGAAGGAGGTGGGGAGGTGCAGGGCTGCAGGGAGCATTGCCCAGGCCTGGGGTAGCACTCTGCGTGCAAAGGATAGCCAGGGAGGCAGCAAGGTGGAAATGCTGGCACTGTTAATTGCCCTGAATCCTAGAGCCACGAGTGCTGCTGACTGTCACCTGCCCCTCCTGCAGTGGGGAACTGGGAGTCCCGAGGCCGGCTCAGGCTAGGCTGTGATTTTGAGGGAAAGACTCTCCTGTCCTCCCATAAATTGAATGTAAATGCCCATGTTTGCAGCGTGTGTGGAGATGATTTTGTGTGATCAGTGCAAAGTACTACAGCTGATTTGCTGCAGAAGTTTGATTCCTCCAAGCTCCATTTACAGTAGTTTGAGAGGTTGAAATGAACCACGCTGTACAGCAGAATGAAATTCAGCTGAAGAGCCACTTACACACAGAACTGTGCTGAGGATCTCGGTGATCCCAACTCCCAGGGAGACATAGTGGGTTTGAGCAGGGGGGATTCCAGCCTTTATAAAGACATTGTATGCATAGAAGTAAACCTGAAAATAATAGAAATGAGTGACGGCTGTACCCACGTGGTTGTTTACACTAGCTTCTGTCTTTTTTGACAGAAAATAACTCATCAGGCTTAAACAAAAGAGAAAATCTTCAGTAACTAATCCTCAGTGTGTTCATGAGGCTTACTTGTGCAGAACAGCTTTTGCTAGCAGCAATGTCCTGGATGCAGGAACAAATACGGCCTTTTGCTTCTGTCTTTGCTTTTTTAGTACTGCCTGTGTCTTACATTACAGGTTATAATTCTGTCTGACATCTTTCACATGTTTTAGTGTCTCGTGTACTTTGGATGAGAATCATACAAAAATGTGGACAGTACATACTAAGCAAATGGCTTAAATTAACTTTCTACATCATCTTTACACCTTTGCAGTGATTTTGATAGTCATTGTTTTTCCAGATGTGAGCACTCCTAAAGCATAAAAAATTCCACTGTTAATATGCTCAGTTTCTACTGGTCCTTCATGGTATAGTTACTGCTGCACTTGTGGGGGTAGAAGGGGTCTTATGAATCCTTAAGTCTTTTTGAATATGCAAAATTAACCTGGATTTTGGAACTTTTATGCTTTTACTATAAGCTTATTTTATACAATAACTATTCCAATTCTCAATACTATCTACTGAAACATAAATAGAGATATTTCCAGAGAAAAGTTATATTAGAGAGTATATATCAGTAACTGTCACATAAATTACCAGGATGTTGTAATTGTCTATAGTCTGAGAAAGTGCAAAGTGAAAGGATTTAGAAAGAAACCCGAAGAGGTAAGAGTATGGAAATGAATGTCCGTGTGTACATTACATGTGTGACATTGACATGTCAGTGTACATTACAAACTCGACTCAGTTTGTACTGAGATGGCTGAACAACTCTGGGCAGTGCATTCTGTAGTTCAGAGACTCAGAGGAGGTTACACTGTTCTTTACTTGCTCTGTATTTGAGAAGTTATTTTATCCCCTTCCATTCTCTTATTATAACAGGGTAATCCACAGAGATGCCTTCAGATGACACTTCCTAAAACACAGATCTCAACTTATCCCAGGTCCCAAACTTCCATGGGAAAATATTACAATAAACAATAACAACAGATCCCCTCCTTGCAGCCACTGGTGCAGTCAGCACTTTGCTACTTGTTGCAGAGCTTACTTTTTGCCAAGAAACTGCAAGCAATCTAGAAAGCAGAGAAAAGTAGCACACATACCACATTGATGCCAATTAACTGCGTGCATGAGGAGACAAGGAAGAGAGTGATGAACTGCCAACGGACAGCTTTGTCACGAAAAAGATCACAAATGCTCTTAGCCTCCTCCCCACGGATGGCTTCTTGCTCTGCCATCATGTCATTTATTTCGGCCATATGGTCACCATCTCCCCAGAGCTGCTTCACAGCTGGAAGGAGAGGAAGAGAGAAGATGACTCCTGGTCCAAGCTCACCAACACAGACATGAATTCAGAGGATTACTTCCTGCCTTGCAGAGTGTCTCATTTGAGCTTCAGGCTCTTTGCTTGTGTGAACTTCCTAGAGATCTGGGTTCAGATTAGACACAGATCCAGTTCATTGTTACCTATTTTTACCCATAAATCTTTATCATGACCTCACCTTTGGCCAATAGCTGCTTATAGTGTTTCACTGTAAATCAGACCTAAATTCTTACCAGTCCTTCCCTGAATACCCTCCTGCTAAAGGTGCAGTTCTGGTGCACACACCAAAACACAGACAAGGAAAAATGAAAATAAGCCTACATCCAAAAAGTTCTCTCTTTTGATCATTAAAACCCACAATGGCTGTTTGTGTGTTTATGTCAGTAGTTGCTGTTAGGGTCACTGAAGAACTGGAGTGCTGACGGATATGGCAAGGTAGTAAAGAGCATCTCTTTCTTACACAGAGCCAGAAGGTACCAAATCCACACCTTGACTGTTCAGGGCAGAATCTGGATTGGTGGAAATACAAGCTCTGTGTGATACATTCCTCACTAGTGGGGATGATACATCCTATACTAGTGCCAGGGGAGCACTAGTGTCAAACAGAAGAGGCTGTCTTTCATTAAAGCTGAAGGTGGTTTCAGAGCCAAAAGAACAAGAGTCTTTTTCCCAACTGTACCTCTCCTCCAGGCTTATGTGGGGCTTTACTGTATTTTCCACTTTTTGCTAAATTGAATGCTTTGTGGCCCATTTCCTCACCTTCGATGCATCCCTCCTTGTCCTTTTTGTCAATGAGCAGGTAGCGGGGAGAGTTTGGGAAGAAGGGGAGGGTGAGAAGCTGAATGAGGGCAGGAAGCGCATTGATTGCCATGAGAACAGGCCAGAGAGCATCTACTCCAAGAACTTCTCTGAAACAAAACCAGCAGAGCGAGAGGAGCTGAGCAACCATGTGTGCTGGCCCTGGGAGCACACACAGAGAGATGGTGGTCCCTCGGCCCTGCTGCACGTGTCATAGAATCATAGAATCATAGAATCATAGAATCATAGAATCATAGAATCATAGAATCATAGAATCATAGAATCATAGAATCATAGAATCATAGAATCATAGAATCATAGAATCATAGAATCATAGAATCATACCTGGCCTTAAACACTTCCAGGGAGGGGGCATCCACAACTTCCTTGGGCAACCTGTTCCAGTGTCTGACCACACTCACAGTGAAGAATTTCTTCCTAATATCTCATCTAAACCTGCCCTCTTTCAGCTTAAAGCCATTTCCCCTTGTTTTGTCATTAACTGCCCTTATGAAAAGTCCTTGCCCAGCTTTCTTGTAGCCCCTTCAGGTACTGGGAGGCCGCTGTAAGATCTCCCTGGAGCCTTCTCTTTTTCAGGCTGAACAGCCCCAACTCTTTCAGCCTGTCTGCCAGCTCTCACCCAGGAGCCTCTACCATTTCTCAGCCTAGAAAAATGACATTCTCCATGGGAGGTGGAAGGGGAGAGCAGAGTGCTGTTGCCTGCAGGACGTGAATTACACAGGGTTGCCACCTGTTGCTCAGCAGTGAGTGCAGCAAGGCTGACTGCATCCTCCTGCAGCAGCTGAGGGCCCACCAGGATGAAGTGTCCCAGCAAAAGTGCTGAAGAAAGAACCTGTGGCAGCTGATCCCTCTGCTTCTGATCCAAAGAGTCTCAAGTCAGGGATTTGGGCTGAGCTAACTAAGTCTGGCTGCCTAGGGGACCCTGAAAATGTGTCTAAAAGTAGTTGCTGATTTGCCTATCCATAGGCTTGCATTGACATATGCATATATTTTAATAACAGAATAAATTAAATAGGTCTTGGACCCGCCTTACCTGAGACCCAGAGCAAATCCTACAAACTTCCCGACAGCAATGGCAGTAGAAGCTGTTATGGCAAAGAGCCCGCGGAGCCTCCGTGGGGCACATTCCCCAGCATACATGAGATGGATATTCAGAGCTAAACCTGCAGTGACAAATGACCGTGAGGGCAATTCAAACTCCCATAGGTCTGGTATTTTGGAGGGGAGCATGCAAGGTTAGGCTCTGAGGCATTTTTTAACCGTGCTGAGCATGTATCTGCCCAGCATGAAGCACATTCCCAGGACCGTGGCCTTGCATCTTTGCTAAATATTTCACTAGGCAAGTATGTTCTCCTGGGAAATCTGTTCTTCAGCAAGCTGGCCTTTTCTTAACAATGTTTCCTACAGCCACGTATACGAGATTGCTGTTGCTCCTTTTAATCTCAGATTATATATTTCAGTGTCTACTCAGGATGCCATGTGCCTTATTTTGTGCTTGAAACCAACACGTTAACAAAGACTGTATATTCCACTTGCTCAGTGAATCAATTAATAGATATCCTCTCTCTTCATTTTTTTTGCTGGTTAGTATTATCTTTATCCAACTGCTCAGGGATCAAAAACACTGACAGAATGTAACCTTCTGAAGCATCTGGAAATTAGAATTGCCCAGTTTGAAAACCGTTCCCTGGTCTGTAATATGGAAGGCAGTGTCAGCCACAATGAGCAGCAACAGAAACAACAGAGGTCAGCTTTCTATTGAGTGAGCATGCTCCCCTGAAATATTGCATGTTTTGGCTTTTTCACAAGTCGGCAGTCCTTATTATATGGACTGAATGTAAAGATAAAAGAATGAGAAATGGAGATGTCACATCTGATTAATTTAATTATGTTTGTGTCTTCTTATTTAGTTAAAAATGCATTCAGCCATCAGGCCCTCTGCAGAGTTCAGTAAAATTCTGTGATCTGTATACTCAGTCTGATACATCTTTCTGACCCTCAGTCACTGCTCTCCCAACTATCTGTTACCATAGGTAGGAATGGTAATTTACCTCCACACACTCCTGAAAATAACCTTCCAGCAATGATCATCTCAAAGGATCCGCACAGCCGACTGAGCCCCATCAGAGTTGCGCTCAGCAGAGCAGGGATATTGGCAGACAGCATGGCCTTCTTCCTGGAATTAATTTAAATTAATGTGAGCATAAATATTGTCCATGTGTCATTCACAGCCTGACAGAAGTGGCATGAATTGTACCAGCGTTAAAGACTCTGTGCCAGCTTCTGAGATCAGCTGTAGTGAAGTAAATGTGAAATGGGAATGGGAAAAATTTGTCACAGACTGATGAGCTAGTTGAAGCTTTTGATGACTCTAGTGGAGTCAATATCTCCACTGAAGAACAAGCCTGTGAGTGGTTGTCTGTGAAATTAACTTTGAAATGCATGCACTCCCCATGTGATTTCTCTGGACTGGATTCACTTTGGAATTTGTAAGGACAAGGGTATGATTTTCTTTGTGATCACTGGCAGATTTTACCATTCTGTTTCTTCACTGAACTGATCCTTCGTCTGGAGCAGCTCTGCTCTGCTCACAGTGCCGCTTTACAAGCAGTGTTTCTCCCAAGACACAGTCACTTATTTTTGCAGTTGTAGATGTAAACAGAAAGACTAATGTCATCATTATTCCTACCTTCCAAATCTAACAGACAAATATCCAGCACACAAGGACCCCAGAAGCCCACCAATGCTGTGAATGGACACAACAAAGGACCACATCAAAGTAATCATCTCTTCACTAGGAGAAGAGCCGTATCTCTTCAGCCAGGTCTCACGGATGAAACTTTTGATGTACTTTAAAAGAAAAACAGAAAGTAATGGACTCAGTCAACATGTTTTTGCATAATTGCACCTCTTTTTTACTTCTCTAACCTACTTACTGGTCTTCTTGATACATTTCCCTCAACACCCTTGGTTGAAATCTTAGCCCCAGTGAAATCAAAGGGAATTTTGCCACTAACATCCCTGGAGTTACTGTTTTTGCAACAAGGTGCAATGAATAAATCAGTGAATAAAAATATTAATATTAAATATCAACTGTGAGTGCCGCTAAGACAGTGGAAGGTTAGTCTTCTGTTTATGTGCTAAACCCTGATTGTTCTGCTACCTGATCTTCCCCACCGTTCCCGCCTGTCTGTCTGTCTCTCTTGTTCACCTGCTGCATCCTGTCTGGCCCCCTGGATGAAATCCAGGTCTGACTTCAACTCACTTCAGTGAGATCAGGATTTGTCCCTCAGTGTGGCCCATTGTGGGGTCTCTCTGACCTACTGTTCATAACCTCTATGGCACCCTCATTCTTGATGAGAGTCCCCAATGTGGTAATAGCATGAGCTCAATGTCCTTTTGTCACCATTCAGGATGACAAACACCTCCACTGATTTTCCTTTTCCAGCTGCAGGTGTCAGCGCTGACCTCAGCTCTAGAGCTACAGTCCATCCCTGTCCTGTTTCACCTGACAGACAGTCACTTAGACCGAGTGTGTGTGGCCAAGCACATGGTACAAAGGACTACCTGAGTACTGGAAAGAGGAGAATATCCTGGAGCAATCCAAATCAGTAAGGGGAGAATGCTGACTTTATAGATATCACTCATCCTCCCCTTTCCCAGTTCTGGCACACCAGAGAGAGGTTAAAATCCCAGGAAACACAAGAACAATAGCAGCTACTCTTAGAATTAAGAAACCACAGTAAGTCTAGTTTTGAGAGCAGAAGTGAGAAAGTTAGTGTTTGCATATAGAGGCAGGAACACGAGAACACTGACATCCGTGCTGGTAGCTCAATTTTTTGAGCTGTCCATGCTTACCTCAGCAGGAGAATTGATAATGGAGATCTGCAACCCATACTGGAAAGTTCCACCAATGCCCAGGACAAAAGCCAGAAGGAAGAGATTGTAGCTCATTTTCTGGCAGGAAATAAAAACATCAAACAAAGCTGGCACAGCTCGTCAGGCACGCCAGCTGTCCTGTTTTACCTCCAGGAACTCTATCAGTTTGAGCAATGCCACGCACTTCCCTCCTCCAAGCCAGCACAGAGTGCAATAGAAGACCACAGATACTGAAGCACAGGACAGTGAGAAATTTGAGGAGAGACAAAGCTCGTAGCTGTCTCCCAGACCCAGTTACACACTTCAGTGCTTCTGTCTTCAGCTTTGGCCATCTTAATCTGCACTGTCACAGGGCAGCTAGGTGGGGAGCATGGTGCAATATGCAAGCCTTATGTGCACAATTTCCATCTGTTTGTCTTCCCTCCTCCTTCTTTCCCACTTGTTGTCTCACCTAAATGAATATTTTGCTCAGTGACTTGGCTGAGAGC